CTCCAGAAACCCCAAAGCCACACAGAGACACCCCAAAGCCCCTCAGAGACCCCCAAAACCAGTCAGGGAAACCCAAACCACCCAGAGACCCCCAAAACCACTCAGGGACCCCCCCAGAGACCCCTTGGCCCCTGGACCCCCCAAATCTTCTCCGGGAACTCCAAACCCACAAGGTCCCTAGAGGTCCCTGGGAGAGTTTTACGGTTTCCCTGGAGGGGTCTGCGGGTCCAAGGGGGACCGGGCACGGAGGTTTTGGGGGTCCTTGGGAGGGTTTGGAGTTTCTAGAGGAGATTTGGGGGTCCCTGTTGGGGACTGGGGGGGCTGAGAGGCACAAATCCTCAGTGGGAGCCCCAAAGCCCCTCAGGGACCCCCCAAATCCTCTGTGGGAGCCCCAAATGCCCTCAGGAGCCCCCCAAATCCTCTCTGGGAGCCCCAAAGCCCCTCAGGAGCCCCCTAAATCCTCTCTGGGAGCCCCAAAGTCGCTCAGCGACCCCCCAAATCCTTTATGGGAGCCCCAAACGCCCTCAGGAGCCCCCTAAATCCTCTCTGGGAGCCCCAAACGCCCTCAGGGACCCCCAAATCCTCTGTGGGAGTCCCAACCTCCCTCAGGGACCCCCCCAAACCTCTCCCGCCCTCCCCCCTTTCCCTTCTCCGGCCTCCCATTGCCCGCAGCGCCCGCCCGTCATCTCCTGCAGCCAATCAGCGACCGAGAAGGGGCCGTTGGGGCGGGGCCTGGCGGAGCGCGGGCCATGGAGCGGGTGAGGGCTGAGGGGACCCCGGGGACCGGGGGGAATTTTGGGGGGTCCAGGGGGGGATTTTGGGGGTCCCGGGGGGCGATTTTGGGGGTCTCGGGGGGCGATTTTGGGGGTCCCCGCATCACCCTCCGCGTCCCCCCCCAGGGACTCGGCCTGGAGCAGCGAGCGGAGCGACTGGTGCGGAGGAGGTGGGGGAGCGGCGCGGCCACCAAGCGACTCCCGGGCCTCCCAGGATCCCCCTCAGTTCCCTGCTCTGCCCTCCCAAGAGCCCCTTGGGGACGCCCAACTGCCCCTCCCGACTCCAAGTACTTCCCCCCCGACCTCACAACCCCTCAAATGCCCCCGGGGTCCCCAAACCCCTCGCGGGGAGGCCGATGGGGGGGTCGGTATTTGAAGAGTCCCCAACCTGCCCTTCCCCCCCCCCAGCCAGGTCCTGCTCAGGCCCCGCCCCCGTGGGCCAGAGGGGGCGGAACCTCCGCTCAGCTCCGCCCCCGCAGGCCCCGCCCCCGTAGGCCCCGTCCCCGATGACCCCCTCATCCAGTGGCGTCTGAGGCGGCGCCGTGGGGAGGAGCCTGCGCTGGACACGTGCCCGGTGGGCGGGGCGACGCACTGGGAGTCACGTGAGCCCTCCGAGACCCCAATCAGGAGCCGCTTCTGCACCTCCCGCCGCCAGGGGGCGACCTCGTCCCGGCCCGATTCCCAGGAGTCCTTGCAGTGGAAACCATGCCTGCGGTCACGTGATGCCACTGGGGCCCTATGGGGGGCGCCATGTTGGGTGTCACGTGATCGTCAGGACGCTCTGCGGCCAATCAGGAGTGGCGTCCAGGATGCCCAGCAGGGGGCACCCTCACGGCAGGCGCTGGGTGAGGGGAATTGGGGGACTGAGGAGGAATTGGGGGATATGAGGGGGCACTTGCGGGGCCAGAGAGGTAATTGTGGGGCTGGGGGTTCACTTGTAGGGCTGGGGAGGGAATTGTGGGGCTGGGGGGTCACTTTTGGGGTTGGGGGGCAATTGTGGGGCTCAGAGTGATCAGTTATGGGGCCAGGGGGGCACTTGTGGGGCTGTGTGGGTGAATTGTGGGGCTGAGCAGGGGCACTTGTGGATTGAGAGGCACTTGGGGGGTTGAGGGGTCACTTATGGGTCTGGGGGGCAATTGTGGGGCTGGGGCACCCCTTACAGGGTGGGGGGGGTACAGTGGGGTGGCCCCCCCCCATGACCTCCGGCTCCCCCAGTTTGTCCCCAGGACCCTGTCCTACGGCTGCTGCGGTGCCACCGCCGGGCCCTACGGGAACAGCTCTGGTATGCCCCTCCCAACCCCCTGATTTTGGGGGTTCCTCCTGCCCCTACCCCTTCCCCACATCCCTCTGACCCCCTTTGCTCTCCCCTTTTTCCCCAGGGCTGTTGAGACCCTCCTGGAGCCCACCAGGTTCCCCCCCCAATCTGGGGGGGGCCAATAAAGCAATGAAACCCCAAAGCTGCAGCTGCACGGACCCCAAAATCCCCTCCCCCACCTTTGGGGTCTCTCCAAATGCCCCAAGAGTGTTGGCTTGGGGGGTGTTGGGGGTCTGGGGGGCTTTTGGGTGTGTTTGGGGGGGGAGTTCTGGGAGTCTGGTCATGAAGAAGTATTTTGGGGAGGGATTCTGAGGGTGTTGGGGGAGGGTCTGCAGGGGGTTTGAGGGTCCCTGGGCCATTAGCAGGGGGCTGTAACTGGCCGTGGGGTGTTTTGGGGAGCCCAGGATGGGCTTGGGGGCCCTGGGGGGGTTATCGGGGAGAGGGCCTCACCTGGCTCCTCCACCTTCACCTTCACGGCCAACATGGGGTGGGGGGACACCAGAACGCCCCCCCCCCCGGGGGAGGGGGGGAAGAGGGGGGGCCCCAAATGGCCCCCCGGGCCCCCCCCCCCCCCCCCCCCCCCCCCCCCCCCCCCGTTCCCTCCAAACCGCTGCCTCCCATTGGCTGCCGTGCCCGCCCATCAACACCGCCAACCAATCAGCACCCGAAAATGTGTGTTTGGGGTGGCGCCTTTGGCTGAGTCACTTCACTTCCTGGACTACAACTCCTGTCATGCGGCCCCGTTAGAGACAGGGTTGTCCCTGAGTGCCCCCCAAACAGCCCCCAAATTCCCTCCCCTAAAGCCCAAGGGCCCCCCAGGCATTGCAGTGATGATGATGATGGTGATGATGGAGGGAAAGCCATCCCATCGCAGCTCCAGGAACAGTTCAGCCTTTAATTAAAACCTCAATTAAAACAGCAATTGCTGCTGTGGGGGGAGGAGGAGGCACAGGCCCATATTCCATGGGGTCAGTCCCGAAGGAACTGTTCCAGGTCCACATTCCATGGGGTCAGTCCCGAAGGAACTGTTCCAGGTCCACATTCCATGGGGTCAGTCCTGAAGGAACTGCTCAAAGCCCACATTCCATGGGGTCAGTCCTGAAGGCACTGCTTCAGATCTCTTTCCATGGTCCTTTACCTGCCAGGCACTGGCAGGCACTGGGAGCTACTGGGCCCATGCTGGGAGCCCAAAAGGGACACACTGGGAGCAACTGGAAGATACTGGAACCATACTGGATGTACTGGGACCACAACTGGAGCAACTAGGATCATACTGAGAGCAACTGGAACCATGCTGGGTTCATACTGGGAGTGTCTGGAACCACACTGGGGGCAACTGGTACCATACTGGGACTGACTTGGACTGATGGGGATCATACTGGGAGTGGCTGGGATCATATTGGGATCATTCTAGTAGTGACAGGAATTGACTGGGACCATTGTAATTGTGATTGGGATCAGCTGGGATCATACTGGACTCACACTGGGACTGACTGGAAGTCACTAGGATCATGTTGGGGGTTAATGGGATCAAACTGGGATCATACTGGACTCACACTGGGACTGACTGGAAGTCACTAGGATCATATTGGGGGTTACTGGGATCAAACTGGGATCATTCTGAGAGTGACTGGGATCACAGCGGTAACATTCTGGTAGGGATAGGAATTGACTGGAACCATTGTGGGTGTGACTGGGATCATACTGGGAGTGACTGAAATCATACTGGGATTGTATTGGGAGTGACTGGGGTCATATTGGACTCACACTAGGAGTGACTGGAAGTCACTAGGATCATATTGGGGGTGACTGGAATCAATCTGGGAGCGACAGGGATCACACCGAGACCATATGGGGACCATATGAGGATCTCCGCCGCGCTGGGTGCCGCGGGGCGTGGCCAATGTAGATTTATGCTAATGACTCCGCGGCCGCCGCTACACCATCGAGTCGCGGCCTCCGGGCGGGGCGGAGCGGTTGCGGGCCGCGATTGGCGGGGGCGGCGCGTGCGGAAGTGACGTTGGAGCGGCGCAGAGCGGCGGGAGGTTTGAACGGCGGCGGGTCCGGGGGGTCCGGGAGTGACGTCCCGGCGGTGAACAGGGGGGAATCACACCCGGGAAGGGCGGGGGGGTCTCACCGGCTGCCTGTACCTGCCCTAAGCCCCCTCCCCGGTCCCCCCGGGTCCTCTCCAGCGTCCCCCTGACTCCCGGACCCCGCACCGAGCCCGCGGTGGGTGTGACCTCGCCATGCCGCGCCCCAAGCCCACTCCCCGACGGCGCCGCCCCCCTCCAGCCCCGCCATCGCCCCCCCCGCGCCGGCGGGCACGGAGTGAGTGTGGGGGGATACCCCTATGGACACCCTTATAAAACCCCCTAGAGCCCACCATACCCCTTATGGACCCCATATGGACCTCCTATAGCCCCCATATCCCCTGTTCCTACAGACGCCCATAAATCCCCTATAGCCCCTATACCCTGTCCCCTATAGCCCCCCATACTTGCTGTTCCCTAAGCCCCCCATAGATCCCCTATAGCCCCCCCCATACCAGCCATCCCCTGTAGCCCCCTATAGATCCCTCATACCCCCATGTCCACCCAGGCCCTATAGAAATCCCTTATACCCCTCATAGACCTCTGTACTCCCCCATAGCTCCCCACTGTCCCTCTCACCCATGCAGCCCCCCATAGATTCCCTGTAGCCTCCTGTGTCTCCCCAGGCCCTATAGATCCCCTAAAGTCCCCTATACCCCTCCTGTGCCTCCCAGGCCCTATAGATCCCCTATAGATTCCCTATAGCTCCCATACCTCCCTTTGTCCCCCTCCAGGGTTCCGCCCGGGCCAGCGGGCACTGCAGGAGATCCGCCGCTACCAGAGCAGCACCCGCCTGCTGCTGAGGCCTCTGCCCTTCTCACGGCTGGTGAGACCCCAAACCAACCCCTGGGAATGCCCCAAACCAACCCCTGGGAATGCCCCAAACCAACCCCTGGGAACCTCCCAAACCCCAACACCCACCCT